TATATATATAGTGCTACATAGCTTATATAATTAAACAGAAAAATGATTTATGTAGCAATCTCTAACTGGGTATCCAAAGCATCCTCAGTACCTTCCATGCTTGTGGTCAACTAAAAGGTACAGAAATATTCGATGGCACAGTACTGTGCCAGCTGCGGCCACGGAATGACAAATACAACATCGTCCAAAACTATAGGTGCATGAACAAACATATAAAAGCACCTATCTGATATATATCCTGTATTAAATCATTGTTCCCACATTATATGATCTGTCCACCGGCGCACCCTCCTGCTAAACCTTTGCAAGAACATAACATTCACCCACATAGGCAAAACGTCTTATTGTAGCGTACCAGTACTCGCCAGTAGAATCAACACAGCATCAAACAATTTCCTAAAACGTTCTTATACAAACACCTACCTTGACTATTCCCTGCTACATGAAGCCCCACGCCATACTATATCTTCTTTCTACCGATACACCTTGTAACTATAGCAGAATAATGATACGCGCAACAAACCCACCTGCATGGGCGAAAAGTCCACATAGTAGTGATAGTGTTCGCCAGTGTCGAAGAAATCTATCTCAGAGTCCAAACACCTTGACGAGTCCTGCAATACAAACATGGAATGCGATCACGATAAGAGCGTTGATGGAACGCTTCCGATGAATTGATGGGCAGCATGCGTGAAGCTGACTTAGGTATACTTGAGGACTATCTCTGTACGAATACGATAGATATGCGATAGAGGTCCTTTACATATGACAATTTAATTCTGTTATGAACTTTGGCCGCGCCGTGATTTAATGCAGTATTCTTTTTTGGGGCGAGTACACGGCAAAGAAACGTTTCCAAATACTTCCATAGATATACTGTCAGCGCTGGGTGCAAGACGTCACTGGACACACCAATGAGCTGCGTCTATATTGGAGACCGAAACCCTCAGAATACAATCTTACAACCTCTCAAATCAGATTTTACATAGTTGAGATCACACGAGTTATGCAATGCGTTGGAAATATTCTCGTGGACATGTGTAAATATACAATAACACTTGTGTACGTTGCAAACACATGGACGTGGCTCTGGCTTACAACTGAACACTTCTTGGACATATATAACTGGCCGTAGGTTGTGGCACTCCCACATATGCACCTATGGGCCTATACTAATTGCGGGCACATATGTGCATGTGTACACCCATGTGCGCCAGATACACCTATACATATACCAACTTCTTTACAACACAGGCGGGTAGCGGTATCCCCAAGAAGAACATCTCCTCGTACTCGAGGTTTCAAAGAAACAAACTACAAAAACGCACGTGAAAACTACCTACAAGCACACGCACACACGTACCACGACGAGATCGGTCGAATCACTGCGCTCGCGTTTCTTAGGCCTAGCATTGCTGGCATCCAAGTAACCGAAGCTACCACTGATGCTGTTGGTTGCCCGGCGGTTGTGCCACATCTTCAGACTCTGCGGCGTGTCATCCCACATGTCCAGACTCGCGGGAACACTGTATGTCTGTGGGAGGATATCGGGAGGGTGGGTGTATTAAGGTGTGCGAGTGTGTGTGGGAATGACGTTAAATCTTATGCGAGTGCTTTCCGGAGTAAGGCTAACTTTCGCTACGGTGCTATATATTCAGCCAAGCTGCGTCTGTGTGAATTGAATTGTGGGATAAGAAATCGTATTAATAGTAATGGGAAATCAAGTGAAAATGTGGAGTAGGGGTGGGTATAGCTTGGGTGTGTGTGTAAGACAACGTGGTGACTCGGCATTGCACACAATATTCTCGTACGTTCCCTCCGACGATGCCGTCTTGAACGGAATAACTCGCTAGGGTGACGGTTTAGGTTGTGTGGATTGAGGGTATGAGAGGTATATCGGCAGCAGCACGCGTAAACCCTAAACCTTTCGCCCTAAATCCTTGACAAGATAAGTGCTATACTTTGCAGTAAACATGACCGATGTTTAGCGCATGCATGAATGCGGCTGGGTATAATACCGATACCACGCACAACAAACTGTTCAGATTTGCAACATGACAAGTTTCACTACACATTATTGCAATATTGACAATATAATAAGCAACCTTTCAGGATCTCGATACACAAATCACCATTTCTATATACCTTGCTGGCGTTCGCGCTGGAGCTAGAGGTGCCATTCGCAGACTGCATTGGCACAGCAAGCTGCATGGGCACCTTCTGCGACTCATTTGATGGTCGATTGAATCTGAACGATCATAAATATATACAGATGATCAGTACATTATAGTGGTGGCGTGGCCAAGAAAGCCTGGGTCACATAATACGAAATCATAAATCCCACCTTCCCCCCTCAGAGACGGAAAGTTTGCTTTATCATTAGATATATAAGAGGGTAGGTTTCTGATCTCCTAGCGTACGGGCGGTATTAAGATATAAAGAACAAATACTCTGTGTTGTGCTACCGATCTATCTAGAATCATAAAGGACAATATGACCGATCAACGTGAGAAATATTTCAACATATACAGTCGAGGTACATAATGATCAAGTATGTGGTAGTACATAATCAAGTGCGGAGAATGGTTTACGGAATATGGACATACACCCTGACACACACACACATATATATATATATATATATAAATATATACATACATACATACATACATACATACATACATACATACATACATACATACATACATACATACATACATACATACATACATACATACATACATACATACATACATACATACATACATACATACATACATACATACTATATACCTATACTATACTATACATATACATAAGATAAACTGGATCTAACATCGTACATCTAGTATACGT